TCCTGGTACAACAGTCGGATCTGGAAGCAGTCGCTTTTTTCTTTTTTCCTTTCTTTTTTTTTGAAGCGAGTGGTTGAAGCAAATGGAGCATAAGAGCCCCCTGGTGGCTGAAGAAAAAAATCCATGTATAAGCCACACCGGTCTATAAGCTGCATGGTTCAAAGTTCAGGAAAAAAGTTGCGGCTTATAGTCCGAAAAATACGGTATAAAATAGCTGCATTCTGGCGTGATAAGCTGTATGTTTTATATTCAATTAATGTATGATCTGATTAGTCGACTAATGGAAAAAAAATAATCAGTGATTAGTCAACTATAAAAATAATTGTTTGTGGCAGCCCTATTTATATTCTTTATAGGTACGTTTAACCAGAAAATGTCATAGATCCATGTTTTGTTTTGTCATTTGGGAAAGTCTGGAATTCTGCACATGAACGGAGGTGTTTACCTTTTTAATTTTCACATAACAGTTATGCTTGCAAMGCTGAGTCAAGCAAAGCAATAATGGATGTGTTGAAAGTATCACTGCYGCTGTGAAAATGTTAAAGTATCGGGGAGGTGCACGTTCAGTAGTATAAAGGGGTTTATTTGCGAATAGGTCTTTATTTTGTCAAAGAAAGTTGTGGTTGGACCTGGTTGGTGTGACGTACCAATAATGGGATGTTCTTTTGAAACAGCTGTTTGTTGCCTGGTCCGTGCACTGTTTGGTCATTCGATTTCTGTTTTTAAAAAGAGATATTGAAAAACATTTTGTACACCAAAAAACGTTTTCTCAGATCAGAAGTTTACCGCTGTTTTTAAGGCAACAATGCTCTTCTGTGAAACTGGATTTTTTTAAAAGAGAATGCGCTAGCCTAGTTTTACGAATACGTATATAAAATTTTTTCACATTGAGGGAAGGGAAGGGATTGTTAGTTTTATATTGTGGGTTTATTGTGTAGAAGAGTGCTTTATAAATAATTGAAACTTAGACCAACAAAAAATAGTCTACAGTTAGCTCCAGCAAGGTGACAGCATTGAGTTGTCTTGACAGTGCTGAACGTTCGGTTTGCGAAAAATCGAAAGATGAACCGTTTAAAATGAAAGTAAAACCATCTGTTTTTGTTTTTCAGTATCTGGTTTGAAAACAAAAATTAAATGACCAAAAGTACATGAATCGTTGACCACTAAATGAAATGTGTGAGACAATGTAACTACCTGTGTCTGTAATGACTATAATTTGGTTTGGTTGTAGCTGAGAGTCATCCCCAACACATACTCTTAAGTTCTTCCAGATCACAAAATATTTGAGTAAATCTTTGGCATGATAGAATGTGATAGGTGTTGATCAGTCTTTCAAGGAAATGTAGGGTTTGTTTTTTTTTTTTTTGGTTTTGTTTTGTTGTTTTTCCGAAATGACTCCACTCCAGGTTAAACTACGTCAAGCTAGATTATGAAGCTAAAATGTTTAAGCTGTGTATCTTAGTTGTAATATGAAGTATTAAGAATTTTTAAGGCTGTTTCACAATAGCGTCATTCATATGTACGCAGTTTAAATATTTACTATAGTTGTATTTTTCAAGACATTCTCCGTAAAGAAAGATAATAAAAAAAATTTTGAATGTAAACTTGCTAGAAAGATCTCATATGGTTCACAGTTTTAAACAAGCATAAGAAAATTAACATTGCTGTCATTGATTATTAAGGTTATTTGTGTGTGAGGATTATTGAATAATTTTTTGTTTTTTACTTTGTACCACATGAGTTGAGTTAAATAATTTGTATATGTTGTTTTTGTTTTTATGAAATGGAGAGATACCACTAATAGGTTTTGTGTTCTTTAAATAACAGATCTCGTAAAAAGAAAAAAAACAGGATTCTAATGATTTAGATATTAAAATTCTGGATTTCATGACGTGTTGAATTAGAGAAAAGACCAAAGTTAAAGTATAAACTATATACAGTGGGTAAAATAAGTGTTGAACACGTCACCAATTTTCTCAGTAAATATATTACTAGAGGTGCTAATGACATGAAATTTTCACCAGATGTCGGTAACAACCCAAGTGATCCATACATACAAAGAAATCAAACCATAAATGTCCAGAAATGAAGTTATTTGTAATAATGTGGAATGGCACAGGAAAAAAGTATTGAACACATGAAYAAAGGGAGGTGTAAAAAGGCTTGGAAAGCCAAGACACCAGCTGAACTCTCTCAGTAATTAGAAAGCAAGCCTGCCCCTTGTCAGTGCAAYTTAATATCAGCTGGTTCAGTCCCAAATGATGGCCAGGTATCACACAAGAACCATCTGATGATGGGTAAAAGTAAAGAGCTCTCTCAAGACCTTCACAACCTTATTGTTGCAAAGCAGAATGATGGCATCGGTTACAGAAGAATGTCTAAACTTCTGAAGGTTCCAGTGAGCACTGTTGGGGCCATAATTCAGAAGTGGAAAGAACATTATTTCACCATAAACCAACCACGACCAGGTGCTCCTCACAAGATTTCTGACAGAGGAGTGAAAAGAATTATCAGAAGAGTTGTCCAAGAGCCAAGGACCACTTGTGGAGAGCTTCAGAAACACCTGGAATTAGCAGGTACGATTGTTTCAAAGAAAACAATAAGTAATGCACTGAACCACCATGGCCTGTATGCACGCTCACCACGCAAGACTCCACTGCTGAAGAAACAGCATGTTGAAGCTCCTTTAAAGTTTGCTGCACAACATTTAYACAAGCCTGTGTAATACTGGGAGAATATAGTCTGGTCAGATGAGACCAACATTGAACTGTTTGGATGCCAGAATACACATCATGTTTGGAGGTCAAATGGCACTGCACATCAGCCCAAAAACACCATACCAACAGTGAAGTTTGGAGGTGGGAACATCATGGTGTGGGGCTGTTTTTCAGCATATGGTACTGGCAAACTTCAAATAACTGAAGGAAGGATGAGTGGAAAAATGTACAGAGACATTCTTGATAAAAATCTGCTTCCATCTACCAGCAGGATGATGAAGATGAAACGTGACTGGACATTTCAGCAAGACAATGAGCCCAAACACAAAGCCAAGGAAACTCTCAGTTGGTTTCAGAGAAAGAAACTAAAGCTGCTGGAATGGCCCAGCCAATCACCTGACCTGAATCCAACAGAAAATCTATGGAAAGAACTAAAGATCAGAGTTCATAGAAGAGGTCCACGAAACCTTCAAGATTTGAAGACTGTTTGTGTGGAAGAATGGGCCGAAATCACACCTGAGCAATGCATGCCWCTAGTTTCTCCATACAGGAGGCGTCTTGAAGCTGTCATTGACAACAAAGGCTTTTGTACAAKGTATTAGATAAATTTCAGTAAGTGTGTTCAATACTTTTTCCCTGTGCCATTCCACATTATTACAAATAACTTCATTTCTGGACATTTATGGTTTGATTTCTTTGTATGTATGGATCACTTGGGTTGTWACCAACATCTGGTGAAAATTTCATGTCATTAGCACCTCTAGTGATATATATTTACTGAGAAAAATGMTGACGTGTTCAATACTTATTTTACCCGCTGTATCCTAAAGAATATTTAAAGAAATACCATGGAACAAACCGTATGTGTACAAAACAACCTGCCAGGTTCCCATCTGCCCATGTTGTTGTTGTTGTTGTTGTTGTTGTTGTGGCTTTCATGTAGAAGCTGAAAGGAATTATGTGAGATTGTAGGGCAGGAGGAATAAACTCAGCAGAGTCAGCCAAGTGCTAATACCTTAACGTGCACTCACACACGGTCAGATGAGTGCAGAGACTTAGGGAGGATTTGCTTTGTATTAWCTCTGACAGGAATCTGAGAGCCAGCTGGAGGGAGGGAGGCAAAACAGACGTGGACAAAAGTGCAGAAACTCTTYTTTTGTGTGAAACAACACAACCAGCGCAGTAATGTTGTTAAAGTGAAGTTAGGTTACTGGAAGTGTCCCAGCAGCGGTGCTGAAAGGAAATGGTCTTATGAAGAGCTTTGCAAGCTGTCAGCAGGAGAAAGTTCCAGCACCAGGGCTTCAGAGACGGCAGGGCGAAGCAGAATGGGGCACCCCAACGTGCCACTCTGTTACAAACAAGCGCGGAGTCACAGGGAGAAACAGATATCCAGCAGARTGCAACCCTACACACCAAACGGTGAGTAACCAATGGCTTTTATGGTGTAACCCTGTCAGTGCATGCTGGACCTTTGACTTACAAGCTTTACTTGGCTGTGCAGAGATTTGAATACTGCTGGCTGCTGAYCAGCTCAAGACAAACTGAAGGTTAACAAGCTTGTTTAAAAAAACACCTGAGTTGTAATTTGTATAACCGGACTCTTCACTTTGTCCGAACTCTGTATTCTACTTCTTGTTACAGGACATCTGTTGGTCACTTTGACAGTTGTAGGGCAGGAGTGTCAAACTCAGATTTACCAGGGCCACATGAAAGTTGTGGRGGCCCAAAGAGCCATTTGTTAATATTTCATGTTTAACTTTGACTAATCATGAAACGTTACGTTCCTCGTCTCGTTGCTGCGGCGTAACACCACTGACAAACAATAACAAAGCTCTACCTGGTATTCCCTGCATAGAAACATTGTTCTAACATCTTATAAACACRGAAAAGTACTATATGTATGACTGACTAAATGTGAAGTAAATAATACAGAAATGCTGTTAAAAGTAGTAGTTTTACTCACAGATGAGGTCTGCTGAGTACCGCTTTGAATTCTGAGCTCTCCCAGTTTTCAGCAGGAAACTTGTAGTCGACATGCATTATGGGAAATGTAGTTTATAATTATTGCTGGCTTTAAAGCAGCTTATTTTGAGACATTATTACAGGACTATTTAACTAAATTGTTTCGGGGGCCCACAGTTACTCAAAGCTAACAGCTCAGGSGCTGTACAAGTGTTGTCTTTCACCTTTTAAATTAGTTTATTTTGTTGCACTGAATCATAAAAATGTATTTTCATAWTAAATTAACTTTTTATTAATTTTTTGGTGTGGTGGGGGAACCTCATCAGCTTTGAAAAGTACAACAGTTTACACAAAAGTGCATTTTGCTTTGATTGTTCCTGCGATTGTAATTTGTTGCAGAGAAGAAGGCAGTGTGCCTTGATTAGTGTTTTCACTTTTGGCTTCTTTTTTGCATGATAGAGCTTTAGTCAACATTTGTGGATAGCACAGTGATTTGTGGAAGCGTTCCTGAGCTCATATAGCGATGCACATCTTTACCTCTGAGAGATTCCGTCTCTCTAAAATGCTCTTTTGTTTTTACCCCTTCCTCTTACTGGCCTGTTGTCACAGTTCCAATGTTATTTTATTAAATTTTATTTGTTTACKAACCCATTGCAGAAGGAAAAGGCACTGTGGGGCACATTGAAATTGAGATATTTTATTGTAACCCGTCTGCTTTTATTTGCAACAGAGACTTGTTTTGTTATCTTATTTGGTTGCGATTCTACTATTCTTTAAAATACATTTGCAAATTGGTGCGTAGGATCCACTGTTGATTCATACATATTTCCATGGCTCCCAGGCCTTTTTATTTCTGATCTTTTTATTGTATTTGACATTAATTTCTGCACGTTTTTGTTTCTCGGTAGAAAACTTGAACAATGCACTGGGAGCTATCAGAGTTCTTGGTGTGGAACTGATTGAAGATGAACTTAAACCCCATCTGAACACCGTGCTGGTAAACATTAAGGATAAACGTGAGTTTCTTTGGTTCCACTCTTTAACATTCTCAGATATTACATCTAAGGAAAGTTTAAAGTGCATCATTCATCAAACATTAACTGTCACATCGTGTATAGCAGCAGACTTTAAAACGAACTCCACGTCATTGGTTTTACATTAAAGAAAAGGAGAGTTTCGCACGTCTTCTTTAATGTTACTTAAATTGCAAATTTCAGTCAATTTATTTTATTTTATTTTTTACGATTTGCAAGCTCATGCTTTCATACGACACATCCACTAGTCTTTGTTAAAGTATATTTAAACAAAAAATTAAACATATTAATTAATTGGGACAATGAATGGTGTGTGAACGGATCATTTTAGTGACAGTTTTGAGTCTTTAGCTGACGTTAAGCTMTATTTATGTTCCCATGCACGTGGGGCAGAGATAAAGAAGGGTCTAAAARGGTCATGTGTTTAGTGTTACTGAAACTGAGGTGAAATAACCACGTCTTCTAGCTCTGCGGAACTGCTGCTGCTCGATGAAGAGAGGAACTCTGAAACAGGCTGGTTGAACAGCAAGAATCTTTATTTTGCAGTCCAGGAGATTACAGCCAAAAACCAAATTATGGCCTTCAATGCCAAATGATTCACCAAGTAAGAAAGATGAAGTACGAAGGCCAAGGGTGGGGGGCGTACAAGGCTCTTTATAGGCTTCACAGTGTAGTTCAACAGAGGCATCATAACACGGTGTACCTTAAGCGTTCCTCTTCCTAATATGATAATGTGTGCCGAGTTCTGAAGCTGGAAAACCAAGAGACATCGCATCTGTGCATTCCTGAGAAGGGGCCCCCACTCTTGGACACTACAAAACAAACAAAAAAAAAAAAAACATCAGAATACCAGTTCAGATATAAAGTCTAACTTTTCCTGACCAGATTTTTAATGATGTTTCTACACTGAAGCTTGACTGAGCTGGGTTTTCTCCTGCATTTCACAAAAATCACGTCCGTCTCCGTTTATATTTTAATCACTTTTTTTGGTAAATTTTGTTCACATTTGCAACGCATCGTCATCGCGTCAGAACACGTCTTTTCTAGTTGAGACTCATTTTGGTGTCGAATTTGCATGCTTTATATCAAAGCTGGACAACAATGCAGAAACATTTTTAATTTACAAAGTTTTTTCATTTCTTATATAAAAAAACAAAACTAATTCTATATACAACAAGAAATACAATCAAAAATAAAATGAAAGGCGGAAGTAGGAAGAAAAAACCTTACGTCTGCCCCCTTTTTTCAAACAATTAATTCAAACAAAACAAATAACATGTAACGTTAACTCCTTCTCTAGTAACAGTTTGTACAGATGCACGTTATACTATTTCATTTTTTTTTTCAAAAAACCAAATTTGAACCAATTTAAAAAGGAACCATCTTAAAAGGATAGTAAAAGGGYTGCAAGCTTATTTAGTTGAGTCACGTGTTTCATTTTAGTTTATTTTTTCTTTGTTGCAGAGAAAGGGGCTGCAGAGCAGGTGGTGATCAGTGGGATCCTGCCAATCCTGGCCTTGTCTCTGAGGAGCAGAGGTCCTCTGACTTTGCTGACTGCTAAACTGGTGGCTGAGCTCGCCAAGGAATGTAAGTTACTCCCGCAGACAAAGATACCCATTTGTTTGGATTAAAGAACCGTAATGTGACAGTCATCTGGAGGAACAACTGTGGATTTGATCCAACAATTCTAAATCTGGAAGTAAATCAGGCTGCAGTATGACGTAAGACATTTGTGCTGTAAAATAAATCTGTGTTTGTTTCTTCAGCTGTGGTTCGCAAAGGTTTCGGGGATGCAGGCTTGGTTACGGCTCTGCTGTCGGTTCTGACCAGTACCAATGAAGAGCTGCTCGTTTATGCTGCAAGAGCCATCTCACACATGTCTTATGAGAGCCGTAAGTCAAGTGAAATGACCCTCTGACGTGTAATTAAAGGGATCCCTGATTAGTTGTAACATTAGACTTTATTTGATAAACGTTTAATAAAGACTGTAAAAATACTGTAGGCTGCTTAGTTTTGTAAATTTTTAAAAATATATTTTAACACGGACAGAGCCATTTTATTTACATACAAAGCATTCTGGGTAAATGATGACGTGGATAGGTCCTCGGTGTGAGCGAGCTATATCCACCCTGAAGGTTAATCTTGGACAATATCTGATGATCGACTCTTTTAAATGAAACCAGAGAGCGTTGACAGAGAGGAGAAGGTGGAAATGACTCAGCCTGGAACTGAAAATATYGATGGAGGACAACAGAGCTGCTTCATGGAAGAAGAACCTCAGCTTAGCCTGTTAGCCTTTGCGCTAGCGCTGACACTATATTGCCTTATATGTATTAGCTCGGTGCTAGTGCGACAAACAGCTAAACTGAGGTCCTCCATCCACATTTTCAGTTGCAGCTGAGTCATTTTTGTGTTCCCCTCTCTGTCATGTGGATGGAGGACCTCAGTGACGAGAGGAGAATGTGTAGCGCTGAGCTAATACATATATTTGGTGATAGCATCGGGGCTAATGCTAAAGCTAACAGGCTAAGCTGAGGTTCTTCTTCCATGAAGCAGCTCTGTTGTCCTCCATCCATATTTTCAGTTCCAGGCTGAGTCATTTCTACCTTCTCCTCTCTGTCAACGCTGTCTGGTTTCATTTAAAAGAGTCCATCGTCAGATATTGTTCAAGATTAACCTTCAGGGTGGATATAGCTCGCTAGCAGCCTCGCACCGAGGACCTATCCACATCATCATTTACCCAGAATGCTTTGCATGTAAATAAAATTGCACGGTCCATCTAATATATTTTTAACGTTTAGTTCAAAAATTAAAAAAACTAAACAGCCTACAGTATTTTTACAATCTTTATTTTATAACTAAAATATATGTTTATTAAATAAAGTCTAATGTTACAACTAATCAGGGATCCAAGACTTTTAGTTAAAACCCTGTTAAAATCTGCTTTATGTTTATCATTGAGTTAACTGAAATATTGCAGACATGGGAATTTTCTTTTATTCTTCTATTTATTTCCTTCATTGAATCGTTTCATTTGAATAAAACTGATGAGATTTTGTTGTTGTTGTTTTTTCAAAGCTAAGCAGCAGGAGTTGTTACTTCGGCGAGGTGCTGTGCCACGTCTCGTCGCCATCCTCCTCCGGTTTCCTGACAAGGAGGCTCTGGAGGAGGTGTGCCTCCTGGCTCTCTGTAACCTCAGCGGGATGGGCGTGGCGGCGGAGGCCGGAATGGTCTGGGAGAGGGGGGAGTCGGTGAGACCRGGGGAGTGCGTGTTCCACGGCATTTTCCCTCACACCTGCGGCTTCGCCTCCTCGGTGACTCTGGTGCGCGTCTCTCAGTGGGCACCGGGTCAGTGCGCGGTCAGCATCGAGGACTTCCAGCGCTGTTCCTCCTCTTTCTGGAACTTTTACAGGAACAAACAGGCTCAGCATCGGTTCCCGTTCTTCAGCTCGGGCAGCTGTTCGAATCTGTTCAAGGGGATGAAGTTCTCCACGAGGAGCGTTCCTCGGACAAAGAGTCTGAGGACTCGTGTGTTTCACACTTTCCTGTGACCGACTAAAACCAGAGACGGTGGCCTAAACTAACTGGACTAACTGGACTTATGTCCTGATGCATCTCAGTAATCCAGGTAGAAAAAAATCAAAAAAGAAAAAATAAGTAGGTCCTCTGGATGGGTTCTTTTTTGTGGGTTCTTCGTGTCCAGTTGTCCTCGTCCTACAAAGCTGTTATTGCAAGTATGATTCAGCCCCCTGGGAGCAAAAGGTGTGAATCAGGGCCCCAATGATGCCAACACAAAGAGGGAAAGAGAGACAAAAACAAGGGGATGTTGAGCCCCCGCTTGCATTCACTACATATAACACAACACAGGTCAGGTGATGGGGCACATGAACAATAGAACTAATCAAGCCTATTGTTAGGCTCTTTTGCATGTCATWAAATAGAGCTATTGTTAGGRGATGYCCCTCTTTTGCATGTGACTAACCTGTTTGTCCYTGTGGAGGCAGTGCTTATAAGGCTGKGTTCACCTGAAACTCATCAGACTGAAGAKGTCTCTTGGAGGAGAGACGAAAAGTTTCGCTAAAGAAGAACCCATCCAGAGGACCTACTTATTTTTTTTAACTGGACTTATGTTGGAGTGCTTTCAGCACTCATTTTCATTGTTTCATTGTTCTCAAACACTGAAGAGTTTTTGCAACTATTACTACTGACTTTAACTCACTGTGGTTCTTTTTGTGTATTAAGTGGATGTAATTATAAAGTAGAAAAATAACTGACAGAAAAAGCTTCTCTTTTTGTGACACTTTTAGAAATAACCTTCACAGTTTCATCAGTACCACATGGTACTTTCTTTAAGATATAAATAAAGTAGGGTTAAGAATATAAAAAATACCACAGAATAAATATAACCTTTGTAAAAAAAAAAAGTAAGTAAGTTAATGTTTGATAGATTATTTCTTTGTTGTAACAATCTTGGCAATAGTGGACACCTGAGTGGCAGCACCTGAGGTACCAGGAGCTCAAAACAAGTGTCAGTATCAAGAGCAAAATAAGCCGTTTGGCAGCAAAGATTTGGCAAATCTTTCGTGTGCACAACCCACACACTCAGCTCTACTGCTCATTCCACAAATGCATGTTCCTTACAAATGTGGCACCATTTAAAAGAGAAACTAACAGGCTTTCTAATGGTTTAAGATCAGACAGGTAGTAACTGGTTACATGTAGTAACTTTTTGGTAAAAAAAAAATACTTTTAGGGGTACTTTTACTACGTTGTCCTTTTTTACTTTTACTTCAGTAAAATTTCTGGATACTCTACCCGTAGCTTCACTGAATGAAGAACAAGCTTGTTTTCACCAAAAATTTACCAGACACAAATATCTGCAGTTTTTGTTAGTTTCATAATTTTTATTTTGTAAGAAACTGATTTGGAAAAATGTTTCTTTTTCCTGAATTTMTGATGTTATTTATATGAATTTTTTTCTTTCTAATCTTTAAAATACCAAAAACTTCCATCTAACTTTATATTTTGGCCCGTCTGATGATGTCATTTTAAAATGTTATGTTATTGATGTCTTGATCAGTTACTCAGTACTTGAGTAGCCTTTTTTTACCAAATGCTTTTTTTTTCTTTGCTCTTACTTGAGTCGGTTCTTGGARGGCTACTRTTTACTTTTACTTGAGTAAAAACATGTTGAAGTAGTGCTACTCTAACTCGAGTACAATTTTTGGGTACTCTACCCACCTCAGTAAAAGTTTTACTGTCGAGAAGCTTTACAACAAAGAACAATTCTACCAAACATTAACGTCTTTACTTTTTATTGTCGGTCCATGCTGCAGATTTATTCACAAGTGCTTGAAATATTAAATATTTCTGTAATGGAATTTTCAGCTATTTTTTCTGCAGCTTGTTTGATTTGTGATTATAGTCTGAATCAGATACACCCAACATTTAATTATTTGTGCATGTGTTTAATTAAAATATACATATTTACAGTGTTTAAATTTTTTTTTATGGGCTTCAAACTACGTCTCAGCTCCTCAGAACCAGTGTTGATTACCAAGTTTTACCACTAGATGGAGTATGTGTACTTTGGAGAAACAAACTCACTCCTCATTATATAAGTACTATGTAAGTTTACACACAAGTCTGCGTACATGGACTGGATTTATTAGCTATATATCTGTACATTTTTAGTGAATGTGATCAAACACATTGATTTATTTGTCCTGGTTTTATCAAAGCGAGTTGGTGGTCTGTCTTCATTGTAAATGTGTTGAGCGTAAATAGAAAATAGACACAAACCTCTCCCACTACTCTTCATCTAATTACTTCCCTTATTGGTTCAATTTCGCCTCAAGCATCCAAACGCCGGGCAACGTCCTCTAATCAATCCTAACTTTATTACTCTGGGAGCCACTTAAATATTGATGTGGGATGAGATGAAGCTTTGGAATTATTTACAGGTAGACYTGAAGCATTTTCAGGTTCGACTTGACCGTCCTGCAATGTGAAACTACTTCATGACTAACTTTTCCTGTGGAAAAAAAAAACAACAGAAGGCATTTATGAATAATCTATCAGTGCTTTTAGGAACCTGACTCAATACATTTTATATTAAAAGGGAATTATTTTTGTAGAGTTGATTGCTTACGGGTGAAAAGTCAAGTCAGTGTTTTAAATACAGCGGGTAAAATAAGTATTGAACACGTCACCATTTTTCTCAGGAAATATATTACTAGAGGTGCTAATGACATGAAATTTTCACCAGATGT